GAGGTGGGGACCACGCCGCTGAAGCGCGGGGGTCTTCGAGCGAATTGGAGTGAATATTCTCGCTTTATTATCCCCATAACCCATCTGGACACTCCAGGGATGGCCTGCCAGGCCTCAGCCTGCGTGACGAGGGGTTGAATTAACTCGGGTGACTGGCCGCATGGGGGCAGAACACTTACGAGTGATGGAAGAGGAAGTTTGCTCTCTTTTTGAAAATGTTGTGTGTTTTATTATTTTTTCCGCTATCACAGCGGTTGAATGCTTGGGCGCACGAACGGACCCGTTGTTCGCACAAAACACATTTCCTTCTGCACCCGGAGCTGAACGGGGTGTCAAGAGGTGTAAGAGAGGCTGCTTGAGGGGCGGTCCGGCCGTGGCGAGATCTGACCCCATCCTCTTCCTGTCTTCACAGATCAGGATGATGCCTGAGGGGCCGGGTCCAACGCAATCTTGGGTTGGGGTCCCTGGCGCTTAGGAAGAGGGCAGTGTTAGAACTACACCGTGGACTTTGGGGGAGCCCACTTGTTTTTTTTATAAAGGGGGGTTTGCGCACTTGCGCGTGCCTCAAAAGGGGGCTTACAATGAATTACAAAGATATACAACAGCTACAAGTGTATGCACTACTTGCTTTATGCAAGCACTATATAGGATAAATTACTATACAGGATGTACCCTATTATACTTTATCGACATGAATTGATAGGTGAAACTACAAACAGCCACCCACAAATAGTCTATAAACAAAGCATCAGGCTGTCTGAGTTCATATGAACAACGGTTAAACCACAGCGCCCCTACACCTTGATGCTCATGACAAGAATAGCATGTATAGTTATCTTAATTGAAGTGAATTAGGTTTAAATCGCCGTCACGCACGAATGAACGATATTTTTGCAATTTTACACATAATAATCCACGATGATCACATTACACAAAACTGAAATTGCACGTCAAAATAACACATTGTCAATATTTTTTGAGACCCCCCAAAATTTCACAAATCACGTTTTCAGGGGAGCCCATGTCTTATTAAGGGGAGCCGAGCTCCCCCTAGCTCCCCCGTAGTTCGCACCCTGGAAGAGGATAGCGTTTGGCTGAGTGAGAGCGTCCCCGTGTCTGCTGCACTTTAGCAGGCTGAACAGCGGGGGCGGCAGGTGCTGGTTTTGCGGGCTGCTGAGTCGGCGCAGATTTAGGGCGAGCTGGAGCAGCAGCGGAGCTGGAGAGCTTAGGCAGGAAATGTCGCATAGCCTGGGACAATTTCTGTGCCTCCGTGCAGGGTTCAGTGAATCCTTTGACCGCCGGGCCGAAAAGACCTTTGGGAGAGACTGGAGCATTGAGGAAGGGGATCTTATCCTCGTCCTTAATCTCCGTCAGCATCAACCATAAATGACGCTCGAGCACCACAAGGCTGGCCATCTATCTCCCAATCGCTCGCTCGTAGCCGATCGCTCGACCTCTTTGCCCCGCTGTTTTTTCCTCACAGGTCCCTGGGAGGAAGAAAACAGGAGGGCCCAGGGGGCTGAGTCGCTCTCTGAAAAGAAAGCGATCCGTGAGCGGAGAGAGGCGAGACTGAAGCTCTCGCAATGGGAGCAAATAGCTTCCGTGAGCGCAGCTTCCGCATGGGATTTTCTCAAGCAGGAAACGCACTCCGTGTGGCCGTCATCGGCGTGCAGGGGAGACACATCACATCATCACATTGCTAGCATGTTTCAGAAAGATACAATACTAGACAGACAGACAGACAAGACCGACCGAAAGACAGATAGATAGATGGAAGTGAGGTATGGGGTCCACTTAATGATCAGAGCTACACTAGATGGGACAGACATCCAACAGAAGCCCTACACACAGAATTCTGCAAAAAGATTCTAAAATTACAAAGGAGAAAACCCAATAATGCATGTATGGCAGAATTAGGCCGATTCTCATTGATCATTAATATACAAAAAAGATCCCTCAAATTCTGGATGCATCTAAAATCAAGTCCCACAGAATCGCTACATTTTAAAGCGTTACAAAGGAACTGAACCCCGAAAAAAGTCCCCTAAGTCAACTGGTTCTGAAACTTACTAACCTGACTAACTCTACTAACACTAATCAGCCTCAGACCAGCACTGCATCAATAACATCAAAATAAATCAAATTATCAAACAATCTAAAAATATATATCTGGAACATTGGGATCAAGAAATTAAAACACAAAGTAAATTACAACTATATCGAACTATAAAATCAAATTATGAATCGGAAGAATATCTCCAGAGTGTCAGAGACACAAAGCAGAGACAAATCCTGACCAAGTACAGGCTTGAGTACTTGTGAGTACTCAAGCCTTAGTGAGCACAATCTAGCCATTGAGACTGGCAGACACAAAAAGAGCTGGTTACCCAGAGAGCAAAGAGTGTGTGCTCACTGTGTGACAGGAGAGATTGAGACAGAAGTGCACTTTCTCCTTCACTGCCACAAATTTAAATCAGTAAGTGACCTATATATAAACTTTATATATAAATAAATTCTCAAACATCGTAAAGAACTTTACAGCCATGACTGAAGAGGAACAAATAAAGATAATAATAGGAGAGTGACAGACAGCAACACTGGCTGCGAGAAATGTTTGGATGTGCCACAGCCTGAGATACAGCAGGTGAATGTGTGTGATGAGTGTATTATGTCTGACCTCAGTGTGTCTCCTACTGTCTATCACAGTGATCCTCAGCATGTATGTATTTATATGTTAAACACTGTGGTATCAAATGTTCACATGTTCTGTTTTATTACACTGTTTATTTAAGTTTAAATTGTTGTAATGTTTTTCTCTCTCTCTCTCTCTCTCTCTCTCTCTCTCTCTCTCTCTCTTCTATTATTTAGATATTCTCATTGTTATTATTATGTTCCTCCACATATATTCAAAGCTTTGGCAATATTGTATTTTTACAGTCATGCCAATAAAGCATGTCTTTAATTGAATTGAATTGAATTGAATTGAATTGAATTGAATAAACAGATAGACAGACAGACAGACATACATATAGATAGATATACAGACTGACAGACAGACAGACAGATTGCTTGCCGGATGGATGGATGGATGGATAGATAGATTAGAAATTTTAGAAATATTTGAGTGGAAGTTTGAATGAGTTTAAATGGCTTAGAAATAGTAACACGTGGACTCATGGCCTTAGAGTCAGAAAATGTAGTCTCAGAAGAAGAAGAATATGTTTAAATAGCATTAAAATTGGTTTTCGCAAACCAACTTAATACGTTGTTGCAGGCTTCAGTATTAACTTTGATCATTTCAACCTTTCTAAGAATTGTTAGTCATCAACATGAACACAGTTTCACTTCAGCAGGTGTGAGAAAAAAAGAGGAAGAAAGACATTCTCGAATAGATCTAATTTTGACCTTCTGAAATTCCTTGGAGAGTACTTAGTCAAATTAAACACTCGCCCAACACATTTGCATATATCAGCAAAGTAAAATTACTTTGAAATATATTGATATTGAAATAATTGTAAAGTTTTATTGCAACTCTCCAAATTCTCAGCACATTTCAAGCGGCATCATTTTAGATAGACCACAACATGTAACTAAACAAGTAAAGTTTGTGATCAAACTTTGAGGTTGGCTTGTAATGTAATTAAAGTGGATCTTAAGTGTATTAATGAGCATTATTATTAATGGATATACATTAAGAGGATGTTGTTATAATTAAATCAAATCACAGAGTAAACAATGTTTAAATAAATATTATATATTTTACAGTATGGCCATTTGTTTTGAATTGTTTGTAATTCATCAAGCTTGTTAAGAACTGCATATGGCTTGTTCAGTTTATTAATCTTTGGCTATTTAAAAAAAAAAATTTGAGTGCTCAACAGTTTGCAGCTGTTGAATGTGAGATGTGCATCTGCACTGGATCCCCAGAGATTAAATATTCAAATACATCAACTGAAAACCCAGAGAGAAACATGCAGTGAAATGTGATGTGAAATACATTTCAGAAGTACCATAATCTCCAGCTTTTCTTGGAACATGTCATTTCTGTGCAGTTTGACACTTAATTTGAGCATTAATTTCTGAACAACTAAACAAACAAAACAATTTTTCAGATCTGCTTGAGATATGACACTTCTCAAAACATTCCAATGGAGTTTGAAATCTTTACTTTATTAAAGTTTGATTTAGCAGTTCGTCTGAAAAGTACAGAATTTTTTGCCCTCATGCTTTTAGATAAGCAGCAAACACATCAAGACTGAAGTCATGGCTGTATATCTTTATAGATTATATTCTCACATTTTAGTATGTTCTGAGGGATCTCTACTAATACCAGAGTAACATCTACTGAAAATGCATGATAATGTCACTTGTAGTAAGAGGCTTCTAATAATATTTGAAGGAGTAAAATCAAGATGATTTGACAGAGACATAATAAGTCTTTACTGATGAGTGTGAACACTCAGTACATATTTATCAGTGTCTTCAATAATGTTTGTGCAGAGGCAAATTATGTAGTTTCAACATCTCAGTAAGCCTATATGTTTTTCCAGACAAACTTACAGAAAGACAGGAACAGACTGAGCAAAAGAGAGAGATGACATGGTTATTTTCCTTTTTTATTTCAAAATAGATTAGACTCACATTTAATTAGTCACAAAACAAATAAGAAACCTTGGAGTCTTCACAAATTCTTTTAACAAATCATCACTGCTTCACCTGCAAAATATATATATATCTATAGTTAAAAACACATTAAAGACTTAATGCAATCTAAATTGAATCATTCATATAACACTAAGAACATGCAGTAAAAGTTCCAAAAGGCATCATCTTACTTAAAATGTTCAGCACGTTATTTAGTAATATTTGTATTACCTTGAAGAAGCTGAGCTCAGCGCTGTAGGTCAGAGAAAAGAGGAAGAGGAAGATAAATGAGGTGGCAGTGGACCAGAGACTTCTGAACTCATCCTCCTCCAGAACATCTTTATTGCAGTCCAGAGCAAAGCCTGTCTCTGGCTCAGGTGGCTCACCTAGAAAAGAAAACACAGGAGACAGAAATGATACATCCTCAATTTAAAGTTCAGTATTATTAAACTTTTAGTTAGTGTTATATAAACACTTAAGAACATGATGGCTTTGTGACTGCATATGTGTCCTCGCATATATTCATTTGCACACACACTGTACACTGAAGAGACAAACATACATTACATAATTGTCCTGTCTATTAGACATTGTCAGTGCAGTAGAACATACACTTTATCAAAATGTACATAGGCATATTATTACATTTATGGTATGCTTATCAAGTAACTTACTCTTTTCAACTCAGTATCTAATACTGACATACTAGTAATACAAGTAGCCTACACATAAAAATATCACATATACCATCTGTATGTTTCATTGATTGAAAAGGTCAATACATTCTTGTGACTTTGATGGTTATCTTTAGAATTGAATAAGTGACTTTACTAGAGACAGAGACAAAAAAAATATTCTAATTTCTCTAAATACTGAATTAACTGAGAGTAGAGAGTGAAGCACACAATGTTTCTGATTAGGAAAGCAATGTGAGAGCTGGACTAAATCATGCAAACACAAATATTTATTGCTTGTAAAACAACACAGAAAATGGCATGTTATATTAGAGGCTAATCGCAGTACAGTAAGCACAGAACAAGACATAAAGACGCTCTATGATATTGTTCTGACTATGTTTTCATGTGACCATATTTACTTTAGTCTTGAGTGTAATTTGACTTTGATGTTTGACCCATGCTGTAAAGTAATACAGACATACAGACAGAAATATGCACAAACAACAACATCGAAGATACATAATCTGACAAATGAGCAACAGGACAAAAGCACTGGCGAACGTACAAGTGAACAACAGATAACTAGTAGTCAGTACTTAATGGACACTCTTTCCATTTACTTTGGCTTGTTGAAGCTTGTAATGGAGCATTTATATTATCCATGTTGGCATGTTTGACTGCGCAGGTGATGGTGGTGCTGAGCTTTTTATAGTCTTCTTTTGTCATTGTTAGGATGCTGAGAACAGACGTGGAGTCCTTTTGATGGATGGGAGCACTGGTTGTGCCCTCTCTGTAAGGCTCTTCACCCACTTTCCACATGATATAGACATCGCCGAGTTTAGGACTGGTGACCTCACACACATGAGAAACATGATCTTTGTCCATACTATCAGGTTTGTAAATGATAACATTTGGTTTATTTCCATCTGAATTGGAGGAAGTGATAAAGCTTTATTAAACAAACAGAAAATCAGATAATAATATATAACAATAGTGTTATATCAAGGCAGTCTAATCTTTTTGACAGCAAAATCCTTTCAAATGGTCTTGCAGGCAATAAAATTTTTTTCCAAGCAATACAATTGTTTACAACCTTTCAGCATCTATGCACATAGAGCCACAAAGGTAATTATAAGTTTTAGACTGACTTACCTCCTTTATGAAAACGGATCGTCTGCTTGATGTCTCTGTTATTATTTGTGTCACTGGTGGTGCAGGTGACCATTTCACCATCAAACCATTTCTTTGTGTTAACAGTGACATTGTGTTTTTTTATAGACTGTGAAATGTCATTAGAAAACTTGACTGTTCCTGGTCTCACATCGATTTTAGTTTCTTTCACTGAGCATGACACTGAAGCTTTTTCCACTGTATCTTTTATATCTCCAGAAACAACAGCTTCCAAGACAACTTCATTTTTTAAAAATATTTCTCTCTGACTTGGTGGCTTCAGTGTCAGTGCAAATTTAGCTACAAGGGAGCAAGAAAGTAAATATTTCTTCATTTGTAAATTTGGATTAATGTGTATATATGTGAATTGGGATTAGTTTGAAGGAGTGTATCTTTGTGTGAATTTGAAATAGAAATCAAAGCATGAACTAGAGAGAGCAAATCGACATTCGATGACCTACCTTTGAAGTATGCTGTCGTGGTAAACTGTTCTCCCCGGTGTGTGACCTCACAGGTATACTGAGTATTCACATCCCAATTCTCTCTGCTGACTTCATAAAAACTGTATGCTGTGTAATGACCTGTATCATTCAGTTTGCTTTCCAGTTTTAGCTGGCTCATGCCTTTGGTATTATTCACTTTCCATTGTACATCGATCTTCTTGGGATAGAAATCCTCAATGACACACATGACGGATGTACTTTTCGAAGTTGTTACAAGAACCAAGCTCAGGGTTGGTGTTTGTGGTTTCACTGTAATTAAAACAAAGTTTATGTACAATAAAAATATGTGAAGGACAACTGACATTTTGCAAACTTAAAATTTTACGGTGTACCTCAACAGTTTAATTTAATGTTTATCCTGTTAATGTCTGTTGTTACCTGTTGTGAATGTTTCTGTGACTTTTCCTGATGGGTGTCCTGCTTCACAGATAATTTTACTTTGATTCCATTCTGCTTCATTAATAGTTATATGGCTGACTTTCAACATCTTGTTTCCAGTTCCTACTGTGGGGTACTGGATGAAATTAGTCAAAGAATTTCCGCGCTGATCCATCCATTTGAAATTGACAGATTCAGCAGGTGAGAACCCAGTGGCCAAACAGCCAACAAGTAGGGAACCAGGTGAGGATTCACACGGAGACATCATAAACACATTTGGTGCTTTGGGAACTTCATCTGAAAGAGTGAAACCACACGAAACACAGGCTAGTATACACACACTGATGAAGCAAAATACAGTGGACTTAATTGACCTAACAGTTGCTTCAGCAACCCCCAGAAATACTCCTAAAACATTTGTATGGCAATCACATACAGGCTGCATTAATAAATTAGCTATTCATATAAATCTACACATAAAAAAAGCTATGTGCATGTTTAATTTCATTAGTCACAAATGAAACATTTTAATTAAATTGTTAGTAATAAAATAGCTGAGTAATAAAATAGCCTATTAAAATCGATGGCTCAGCTCATCTGTCAATAATGTACCAACCTTCCCTCAGCACCAGCAGTTAAAATTCTCCTGATTGAAACAATTTATTATAAACTGTCTAATATATAGGCCTGCGTCAAAAATAGCCACTGACTATAATCCAATAGGCTATGCGTTTTTACGCTAAAGCATCACAACCTTAATCATTAAGACCTACCCGTCAAAATATGGAAATAGGCTATTTTTACAGCAAACAGCAAAAACAGAACAAAAGCACGCACATAACTGGCAAAATACTCAAGGGTGCACAAAGGAGACATTTTTTTTCAAAAACGTTCAACGTTCAAAAACGTATTCAATTTTCCTTTTTTTTCTTTGGAACTTTGGTGTGGCGACGTTTGTTCTGTTTTCTTATGAAAACACCTATAATTTAGCACATTTATTTTTCAAAGTTAACAATTAAAATACGCACTATTTCCCCAGTGTTGTTTAAGCTTTTCACATGGTTTCATGGTTCCAAGGTTGCACTATTTTTTTAGATTGAGATTAATAGAGGGCAGCTTTGACAGGATTGATTCTGGTAATTAAAAACTACTTGTTCTCTATAATGAAAGACAACTTAATATATTCAAAAACGTGCGAAACAGACATAACAGGCCATATCCTATACTATGCCAAAACGAACAGTCGAATATTAAAATTGTCTGTCATATATATATATA